ATATTTGCCTGTTTTATAGATTACGAGAAGGCATTCGACAAAATTCAACACGAAAAAATGATGCAAATACTGAAAGACACTGGAATAGATGGCAAAAATCTCAGAATAATTAGAAACCTATACTGGAACCAGTCAGCATCCATTAGATTGAACTCGGAAGAATGCACAGACGAAGTAAATATCCGGAGGGGAGTACGACAGGGTTGCATCCTGTCACCACTCATTTTCAACTTATATCCAGAGGAAAATCTTTACTCGAAGCACTAGAAGGAGAAGAACATGGAATCCTGGTAAACGGAGAACGCCTGAATAATATCAGATATGCAGATGACACGGTCGTATTTGCTGACAACATCATCAGCATGCAGCGGCTCATAGACAAAATAAGTGAAGGAGGAAAGGCTGAAAGTGTAAACATCAATAAAAGTCCAAATTTATGATAATAAGCAAGAATACGAACACGCGAGGCCAACTTTTCATTAGAAACATACCAATACAACGGGTATCAGAATTCACATACCTAGGCACAGTAGTCAATGAACAGTGGGACCACTCACAGGAAATTAAAGTTAGAATCGAAAAGGCAAGAAGTGCATTCAAAAGTATGGACAAACTCTTTAAGAGCCACAATCTAAACCTAGAAATAAAAATCAACTCTCCGATTACATTCTTGTCCATACTATACCATGGGTAGAGTCGGGATATTAACAAAAGTTAATTCCCAGAAAAAAAACGACTAGAAGTTAGTTCGAAATGTGGCTATACCGACGCATCTTGAAAATACCATGGGTTGATAAAGTATCAAACAGAGCGCGGTAAATTTGTTAGTCAGAGAAACAAAAAGAAATAATGAACACAATAAAAAGAAGAAAGCTTGAATATCTAGGCCATATAATGAGGAATGAAGGAAAATACCACCTCCTAATCTCCATCCTTCAAGGGAAAGTCTTTGGCAAAAGAGGACCCGGAAGACGAAGAATCTCATGGCTGAAAAATCTCAGAACTTGGTTCACTACAACAACGAAAAATCTATTCAGAGCAGCGGCAAACAAAATAATAATAGCCAGGATGATTGC